TCCGCCAGATGTGGGTGAGTTATAATTCTCAACATTCCTCACCATTAGCTATGTTGACTAGAAATGATGGGAGGTACAATAAAGAGGACCACACAATTTCTACCCTTGCTTTCCAAATAATAGTACACAACTGGACAACTTAAGCCAGCCTTTCTAAGTGGATGATAATATGCATGTGACCAAATCTGACCTCAATTTCAATTTTTTGAGCATGACTTATTTGATGCATCTTAAAATGGTAATTAATGTGATTAATGTCTGTTCATTGAATTCTGGATAAAAAGGCCTTGTATCTGTTTTGCACACGGAGTCTTTGCTGCTTGGGTTCTTTGCTCCAAACTGTGATTTTCCTGCTTCTTGGCAAGGGGCCCATGAGGTGTCTTCCAACCCTATGATTCTATAAAGCTGTGTGTGTCCCAATGACAGCCAAGACCATCATACTGCATTGCAGGTGATGAGTCACTGAAACTATGCCTTATTAAATAATGGTTGCCATCCAAATAGATATAAAGTGGCATTGTGTTTCTTAAACACCCACTGCTTCTGACAAAAGTCCTTTGAATATATTCTAACACGGTGATTCTAAACCTCTGGGTCCCCAACTCCCAAAAATTCTAACAGCTGGTAAACTGGCTGGGATTTCTGGGAGTTGTAGGACAAAATACCTGAGGACCCACATATTGAGAACCACTGTTCTAACAGGTCATTCATGAAGTTGAGAAAGAAAAGAGAATTATGTACGTCCTGCTCTTGTCATTGTATGTCTTAAAGTCATTTCCAACTTACGTTTGTCCCAAGATGAAGCAATCATCAGATTTTTTTGAGAAGGTTGGTTCAAAGAACCAACCCAGGGTCATGTAAAACAATTACACTATGTAACAAAATTTGGCTGGAAAACTGTCCGCACTTAAAACAACACTACGTAACAAAATTTGGGGGGGAAATATGTTCTTGTGTTTGAAAGTGTCGTTTCCTGTTTAAGTCTGTGGTACTTACTTTTAGAGCACTTGTTCTACTCCAGAAACTTTGTTTTTGTGGCTGCCACAAACTATGTTGAAGTGATTGAGGCTCTATGAGATATTCATTGAAAGACTATAGCAAAATATGCTACAGGATCTTTCTGCAGTTTCATACACTTTTCCCAAGGTTTTTTTTTATGGTAGAACCAATTAGGAAATTGCATTTATGACCCAGGAACAAAAATCATGTTGCATAGTGAAGTTGTTCTATTTTTTCTGTTCTTCTGGTCTGTAGGGAATTTGGAGCTGCACCATGATGTCCTGAGGTGGAACAAATTTAGTAGCTCTTGGCAAACTCTCTCACTGTCAGTAAACAATTTGTTAGGCAAGGGCAGCTTTGCATGTATTATTGGCTTGCTTTTCCCAGCACTTCTTACCACTGGTTCTATTAGTTAGGACTGATGGACGTTTCTGTCCTGGGACATCTGGATTGGACTTTGGCCACCTCTGCTTCAGAGAAGGGCCAAAAAATGCTTGTGATTCCTATCCATAAGGAGCAAGAAGGATGTATGGAATGATAATGATGTCATCAGCTGGGGACCCCTCCCCCCAGCACCAACTGCCGCTCTGGGCCAGAGTGAAGAGGGGGGGCAGGGGACAGTTTCATCTTGTCTCCTGCATATGTCATCAGTTGGGGACCCCTCCCCCCAGCACCAACTGCTACTCTGGACCAGTGAGAGGGAAACAGAAGTCAGTTCCACCTTGTCTGTGCTTATAATATAACTAGCTTGGGGACCCGGCGCTGCCTGGGTTATTTGAGAAAGGAATTGTGTATCAAGGTTGGTCTTTATCAGTTATTTATATTGCTCGCAGTGGTTTCAGGAAGTTGGTGAAGGTACTGCGAGTCCCATCATCTGTGGTCCATCCTCCTCCAAATTGCACCAGAATGGAGAGTGGGTTGTGGGGGCTCTGTGTGCCAAGTTTTGTTCTTGATCAATCATTGGATGAGGGTCACAGTGGTCTCAGAAAGTGAGTTTATGTACTGCGAGTCCCATCATCCATAGTCTGTTCTCCCCCAAACTTCACCAGAATGTTGAGTTGGCCAAGGGGGCTCTCTGTGCCAAGTTGGTCTTTCTTGGTATTTGGATAAGTGTTGCTGTGGTTTCAGGAAGGGAGTGGAGGTATTTGAAGTCCCATCATCCATGGTCTGTCCTCCTTGAAAGTGCACTGGGATGTAGAGTGGGTCATGGGGACTCTGTGTGCCAAGTTTGGTCTTGATCAGTCATTGGCGAGGGTCTCAGTGGTCTCAGGAAGTGAGTGAAGTGACTGCAAGTCCCATCATCCATTGTCAAATTCTTCCAAACAGCACCAGGATGTAAAGTGGGTCATGTGGGCTCTCTGTGTAAATTGTGGTCCTGATCCATCATTTTTGGCAGTTGTAATGGTCTTAGGAAGGGAGTGCAGGTATTGCAAGTCCCATCGTCCATGGTGCATCCTCCTCCAAACCGCACCAGGATGTAGAGTGCATCATGGAGACTCAGTGTGCCAAGTTTAGTCTTTATCGGTAATTGCATGAGGGTTGCAGTGGTCTCAAGAATTGAGCAAAGGTACTGCAAGTCCCATAATCCATGGTCCTCCCCAGCCAAACCACACCAGGACATAAGGTGGGTCATGAGAGGTCTGTGTGCCAAGTGTGGTCCTGATCAGTCATTGGATGAGGTTAACAGCGGTCTCAGAATGTGAGTGATGGTACTGCAAGTCCCATCATCCATGGTTCATCCTCCTCCAAACTGCAGTAGGATGTCGAGTGGGTGATGCGGGCTCTGTGTGCCCAGTTTGGTCTGTATTGGTTATTTTCTGACTCCGCCCCCTCTGGCCTTTTCCTTTCCTCTCTTTGTCATCTCGGAATCTTGGAATTGTGGCTGGCCAATCAGAGACCATATGCAAATTTCCTTCTGTCATGTCCCCGTTTCTGTTATGAACCCTTTTCTCCACCAGGGGCTCCTGTTGCAGCTGGCCAATCAGAGACCATATGCAAATAGCACCACAGTGGCAGCCAATCAGAAAACTGCCACATACCCGGTCGCACCGCCGCATACAAACTTTGACTTTTATTATATGTATAGATATAACGTAACATATGGTATATACATATATTTATAATATTATAATGTAATGCAATATAATACTAATATATTATAATTATATATTTATATTACATGTAATCTTACTAATATTACAATATAATGATATAGTGCAATATAGTAATATTTAATACTGATATGATATGCTAATAATAATATGCTATGCAAGGCTGGGGTGAACATTGCTGGAATAAACATTAACAACCTCAGATATGCAGAGGACACCACTCTGATGGCAGAAAGTGAGGAGGAGCTGAGGAGCCTTCTAATCAAGGTGAAAGAAGAAAGCGCAAAAGCTGGGCTGCAGCTAAACATCAAAAAAACCAAGATTATGGCAACAAGAATGATTGACGACTGGGAAATAGAGGAAGAAAATGTGGAGGCTGTGACAGACTTTGTATTTCTAGGTGCAAAGATTACTGCAGATGCAGAATTTAGCATCACTATTTTTGAGAGAGATTGAGAATGATGAGAGTCGGATAGGGGTTGAGCGGCGTCGTGTCTGTGCGATTTGAGGATTCGGTGAGTGCTTTCCGTGGTGAGGAGTTGAGTGACCCCGGAGATTTTGTCACTGAGATCTTGAGTCTGAGTGTGAGTGTTGACGAGTTAAGAGATTGGCGAGTGGTCGGCGAGAATCTGTGAATGAGGAGCCGGAGGACAATCTGAGAATTCCCGAGAGATGATCATGAGAAGAGACCCCTTGAGAGGATGAGAGATTAAGAGTAGTTGCTGTGAGAATTTGGAATGTTGAGATCTTCTGTCGTACTTTGAGTTGTTATTGGCTCGAGCGATAGACGGAGATCCTCTCTGTGGGTCGAGAAATTGAGGTGGTTGGTGAGACAAGGCGAGATGATGAGATATCGATATTTGATTTTCAGAGGTGGAGACCGAGGTGTCCTGAACTTTGAGATCCGAGAATTACTGGGAGAGCTCTGCGAGGGTATCCGCTGTACCGCGAGAGAAGATTGAGGAGCAGTTCGTGTTTGAGTATGGGAGAATGATTTACGCGTTGTGTTAGTGTGAGCGGAGACACTTGAGAATCGTATCGGGTGAGTGAGAAATCTGGAGTGAATGAGTGTGGAGGAGATATCAGAGATTGAGTATGGGAGATGAGAAGGTTGGAGCGAGTTGGAGATCGGGGAGACCGCGAGTAGAGAGAGTATGGAGACTGATTCGAGATGAGAAGTGGAGTTCCGAGACACTGTTGTGGAGAAGGCCGATTGGGGGTTGTTGCCCCATCTACGAGGAGGTGATGAGATCGCGTGTGCGCTGGAGATGAGATTTGAGTGAGCGAGACGTCGGATGGAGAAAGAGTGGGAAGAGAAATGAGACTATCCGAGAGGCTTTCCCTCCGGGGTGAGCGTTGCGTGAGATGAGTTCGAGGAGGAATGTGAGTCCCCTTAGGGGTGAGAAGGGCGGCAAAATAAATAAATAAATAACCCCTTATCTGCTGGACTAAGAGTGGACTTATCTGGCAAAAGAAGGTGGTGCTGTGGGAGAGGGTGGTTTACAGGATAACACTGCAGGTCAGGGCTCTCCAGATCCTGGAACGCCAGTCCCTTCTAGCTAGGCCTGACAAGAGAGCGTTTCACTACTATAGCAGCTTGTTTGAAAAGTAATTCCTGCTATACTCCAACCTCCTCGCTTTCTAGCTTCAGATCCTGCCCCTGAAGGCCCCTCTCCTCTCCGGGAGTCCTCCCATGCTGAGCCAAAACCGAAAACACTCTGACTGACTTCTCTACTCTATCCGCAGCCAGTACTGTGAAGGGAGCGTTGCCAGGGCAACACCAGGCCGAACCGGCCGCCTGGCAGTCACCAGTGCGCATGCTCACGCCGGCGCCGGCTAGGCCCGAGCCACCCGCGCTTTCCTCGACCCTCTCTGCCGAGTTGTACTCACCAGGCCCGGCTTGACGCCCGGCCCGTTGCCAGGTGCGTACTCGGCGTAGCGAAGGGCCTCCGAAGAACTCCCCATGGCTTCCTTCTCCTCCCAAAGGAAGCCCGGGAAGGACAAAATTCCCCTCACGCAGAGGCAGCTCTCAAACCTATGACACGCTGAAGGCTGGAATCTAGTGAGCATGCGCCGACCCAGTCTGAGCATGCGCACCACTAGAAAGCGAAGTCGCAAACTCGCCGGTTTACCTTTACGCGAAAGGGAGAGGAGCCGCCGTTCCAAAGCGATATTATACTACAACTCCCAGGATGCCCCACGACAAGCCGTAGTGGTTGGGTCTTCTGGGTGTTGGAGTCCAATGGAGTTTGGGGAGCCAAGGCATCTGGTACAACCAACTCCTATGCTTTCCCATTACCTAATTACCTAATTAATTCTATATTACAGCCGCCTCATGGGGAAGCATGGGTTTTGTGATCAGCTGAGGGTTTGTTTGTTTTTAAGAGCATTTACTCAACTTTATACAGAGTAAGAGGGAGTGCATTTACACCATTGTTCAGTTGCAGCACAAATTTATGATCTGCCACAGTACTACTGATAGGTAGGTATCAGGCTTCACACGATATAAGCAACTGCTGTTTTTTTTTTACAGGTTTTTACATCACCATTGTTTATTAAAGGAACAGGAGAAACAACACTTTAAATGGAAGTTCCAGAAACCTCAAAAGGCCAAACTGTTTAGCCATATCAGAAATACTAGTACTGTAGTACTTTGTACTAAAGAGCTTAACAATTAAACATAAATCAGTTTTTAAAACCCTCCAATTAACTGGAGAATAAGCCAAGCAATTGTACCTAATAAACACCCTAATAAACACAGTATACACCATATTCCATTTTAAAGTGGCATAACACTACCACTATGCAATGAATTAAGGAGAAAAACAATACAGCATTGTTTTATATTTACAATTCTTTATTTGCATAGAAAGCCACAGTCTGTACACCAAGTTCTGAAAACTACAGCCATTTGTTCTATGGGTAGTTTACCATGTTGGCATCATATCATAGCACCGCGACTGTGGCGCAGCTGTCTGAGTGTCAGCTGCATTAAGATCACTTCTGATCACAAGGTCATGAGTTCGAAGCCAGACCAAGTCGGAATGAGCTTCCGACCAATTGTGTAGCTTGTTGTCAACCTTTGCAACCCAAAAGGCAGTTGCATTTGTCAAGTAGGAAAATTAGGTACCACCTATGTGTGGGGAGGCTAATTTAACAAAAATTTACGAGGCCATAAAAAAGACTCCAGCAAAGCATTCCAGCAAAAAGCATGTGGGGAATGCGGAAGTACTTCAGTGTCACAGATGGACGATGAAAACGACAGCTCCCCTGGCGGCCAGAAAAAGTTAAATAGCCTCTGACTGTTTGTCTCTATCTGTTGTGTGTCTTGGCATTGAATGTTTGCCATATATGTGTACATTGTAATCTGCCCTGAGTCCCCTTGTAGCGACTGCAGCCCTTCCTCTATTTCTCTCAAACACTTTGTCCCTCTTTTTTCTTTCAGTCTTCTCTTGCTTTTCTTCATACACCTTTCCCTCTCTCTTTCCTTTCTCTTTCTTTCCTTCCCTTAGGCCTTTCCCTCCACCCTTCCTTCTCCCCTTCTTTTTCTTTCATCCCTTCCTTCCTCTCTTCCCCATACACATGTCACCTAGCAACAGCCAGTCCACTTTGTTCCCTATCTTTTCCTCAGCTGTAGGCCTTAAATGAGTGGGGTTTTGTTGAAGTTCAAAAACCTACATTATATTAATTGGATAATGGAGAGTAGGCATTGCACCAGGACTGTGGCGCAGCTGGCTGGGAGTCAGCGGCATTAAGATCACTACTGACCAAAAGGTCATGAGTTCAAAGCCAGCCCGGGTCAGAGTGAGCTTCCAACCAAATTGTGTAGCTTGCTGTCGACCTTTGTAGCCCGAAAGACAGTTGCATCACTCAAGTAGGAAATTTAGGTACTGCTTGTGCAGGGAGGCTAATTTACGACGCCATAAAAATATCCAGTAAGCATGCAAAGAATTAGGAAGTACTTCATCGGTATCACAAATGGACGGTGAAGCGACAGCTCCCCTGGTGGCCAGAATACCCTCATGAAAAAGCTGGAATGTTAAATAGCCTCTGTGTGTCTGTCTGTATATGTTGTGTGTCTATGGCATTGAACGTTTGCCATGTATATGTACATTGTATTCCACCCTGAGTCCCCTTTGGGGAATATAAATACTGTATATAAATAAATAATAAATAGTTTGTGGGAGTGTACCAAGGTAGTATCTTGATGTGCAGAGAAGAGTTTCCAGGCAGAATGTCCAGTTCTGAGAATTCAGGCCCATATTCTTCAAAAGGGGTGGCAGTTGGAAAGCAGGGAAGCAATAGCACATCTCAGTCTTGCCTCTTGGGTGCAGCCAAATCTGTCAGAAAACCAATCAAGATTTGGGTAACCGGACTTGTGGTTTGAGCATAACCGATACCCGCTAAAATGCCTCAGCATTTCCTGGCCCCATTGCTCCAAGAGACAAGAAAAGAAAACAAAATGAAGAAAAGCCACAAAGTTAGGCAAGTTACAACTTGCCATGCAAATGGCACCATATCAAAGAAAACGTAAGTTTCTGTTCTGTTTCAGTAGTAGTTGCCCCTTCACTGTCATAAAGATTTGGGAATCCCTTTGTGTATATATATAGCAGATAACCCCTTGCCCTATTTATTAGCTCTCTTGGGAGATTTTAAGTGGTGGAGAACTCCTTTCTAACCTGAGTATAGTGTTTGTATAAGCTTATCAATGCTACTATATACCGTGCATGCGTTATTATATGTCCTACAATAAATATTGACGTAGTTTCATTAGCCCTGCATCCGTTCCATAGCGACCAGCCAAGGCAAAGAGCCTCCTGGAGATTCAGACACATGCATATAATCAAAAAGAGACTCGGGAATAAGAGGACAACTACAAGGTTGAGCATATAAAATATTTCAAAGGGAAGATAATGACAAACAGAAATAGAGGAAGCAATCATAATGGCTATGTGAATGGGAGCTTTCTTCTCATAGAATATGGAGATAAACCAGAGGAATCTATTTTAATAATTACTCCTTTTCATTGATTGTAGCATAGTGGGCCTCTGTTACCCACTGGGGTTTGATTCCAAGGCTCCTTGTCGATACTAAAACCTATAGATACATAAGTCACTTAAATGTAAGAAGGATTTGTTTGTGTGTGTGTGTGTGTGTGTGTGTCAGGAGTGACTTGAGAAACTGCAAGTCACTTCTGGAGTGAGAGAATTGGCCATCTGCAAGGATGTTGCCCAGGGAATGCCTGGATGTTTTATCATCCTGTGGGAGGCTTCCCTCATGTCCCGACATAAGAAGCTGGAGCTGACAGATGGGAGCTCACCCCACTCCCCAGATTCGAACCACCAACCTTGCGATCAACAGTCCTGCCAGCACGAGGATTTAATTATTTATTTATTTATTTATTTATTTACTTTGCTTATATACCGCTGTATCTCAAGCCCGAAGGCGACTCATTAACCCATTGTGCCGCTGGGGGCTCCCTGTAACAGATAATAAAAAAATGGTGTCTCTTGTATAATATGCAAAATTGGGATTTGCTTTCTGGATTTGGGCTTTGTAGATGGTCGAATGCTTGGATGCAGAATCCATGACCAGAGCGCTGGCTGTACATGCACCTACAAGGTAACCTCATCAGCCTGAAAATCAACTCACATTTCATAGAACAAACTGCAGAAGAACACTGAGTAGAAATAACACCCAGTTTGTAATATACTACGAATTAAAAGATAAAATATTCACATTCTGAATTACGTTTGACAACATCTAGCATGAAATGGAAAGAAAACATATTCCCCTTTGGAGAACAAACTGGGGCTTTCTCTACTGCATATCTCTCACCCCTTCTATTTCCACATTTTGTTTATTGATTATAATTTAAATTGCATTTTCCTTAAAAGGAGTGCATGATTAGTTTTTTCCCCTCATTTTATCATCAACTGTGTGAGGTTGGCTGGTCAAAGTCACATAGGAGTGCAGATTTAAAACAGATCTTCCCTGACCTATGTCCAGTATTCTGTCCACTGTATCATATAAACTATGTGTTGTACTTTGGAGAAAATTACATAGCAGCTAAGTAATTTTAGACACTAGATCTAACCATCGAATGCTCTCCAATCTTTGAAAGTCCATACATCAGTTAAACACTTTAGTTAAGCAGATAAACCACATATCTTTCACCTGACATACTTGTTTTGTTACCATATATCTGTACTGGCAATCCCCAAGTTACATACAAGATAGGTTCTGTAGGTTTGTTCTAAAGATGAATTTGTATGTAAGCTGAATTTTGTAAGTGTAACTCCACAAGAATGCATGCATACACACACACACACACACACACGCAAGCTTAGGTACCCAGCGTTGCCAGGGTTATTTGAAAAAGTCAATTTTTAATTGTACAAAATGCATAAAGTTGTGGGTGAACTACAACTCACATCATGCCAGGTTAACCCAAAAAAACTCCATCAGTACTTAAAGTTTGTCATGTTGGGCAAGTTTGCTCTAGATGCGTCATCAGTGGGGTTCAGTGTGCCTGTAGGGCAAAGTACAACTCCCACTATTGTGAGTCAGTCCCCTCAAACCCCTCCAGTGGAGAGAATCATAGAGTTGGAAGAGACCTCGTGGGTCATCCAGTCCAACCCCCTGCCAAGAAGCAGGAAAATTGGATTCAAAGCACCCCTGACAGATGGCCATCCAGCCTCTGCTTAATAGCCTCCAAAGAGTTAGCCATGGAGGTTCTGTGTGCCAAATTTGGTCCAGGTCCATCATTGGTGAAGGTCACAGTTTCTCTGGTTGTGGGTGAAGTTATTTATTTATCGTGTCAGGAGCAAGCCAAACAGTTGTATTGCATTTTAACAAACAAACAAAACACAAAGTTTGCAAGCTTGGTAGTTGATTAAATGTCCTTTTACCAGTAGCTGGCCACTTGGAGTGCCTCTGGTGTTACTCTAAGAAGGTCCTCCATTGTGCATGTATTTATTTATTTATTTATTTATTTAAAAGTTTTATATACCGACCTTCTCACCTCTCTTGAGGGACTCAGACTGGTTTCCAACCATAATATCACATACAGTCAATAAAACATCATAATTCATATTACAATAAAACATTAAAACAGCAATTACATTCAATAACTACAATGGTCATTCGTCACACTAAAATCGTTGTTCATCATCCTCCATCCATATCTCAGGGTGTTGGCTCACTCGTCGAATGCTTGTCTCCATAACCACGTCTTTACCTGTTTCCTGAATGTCAGGATAGAAGTGGCGGTTCTGATCTCTAGTAGCAGGGTTCAGGTTGCATTGCTCAGGTTGCATGAACTACAACTCCCAGAAAGGAAGGTCAGTACCCCCCAAACCCCTCCAGTAATCACATTTTAACATATCAGGTATGTGTGCCAGATCCATCAGGGGTTGGGTTCACAGTGCTCTCTGGATATAGGTGAACTACAACTCCTATAGATCCCTCCAAAGACATCCAGTATTTTTTGTTGGTCATAGAAGTTCTGTGTGCCAAGTTAGTTCCAGGTCCATCATTGGTGGAGTTCAGAGTGATCTTAGATTGCAGGTGAACTATACATCCCAGTACCTACAACTCCTATCAATCATGGTGAATTCTCCCCAAACCTCTCTAGTAAGCTCAGTTGCTGATCAATGCCTCTGTTTGCTGTGTGCCATAGAAAAGAATTGGAAAGGGTTAAGGAAGAGCCAGTGGGTAGAGTCATGCAAATCCCACACCAGTGGAGAGAGTAAGAAACACTGGGATGTCTGTGGTGGAAGAAACATAAAATCTAGGATGGAATTGTCCCCATATGAAAGCCTTCATTTGGGTGGTGGGAAGTATGATGTATGATGTCTGTGGAGGACATTGGCAAGGCTCTTGTACATGTTTACTATGCTCTCTATAACCTGAAATATCATTGGACGGAAAGTCATTGGTGTCTCCTGAGTAATGGAAGCTATAGCTGCTTGTGGAGGCAAGAGCTTATCTGTATAAGTGGACACCCCAGCCACACAGATACATAATTTTCACTTTTATTATGTGGATAGGTGGGTAGGTAGGTAGGTAGGTAGGTAAGTAGATAGATAGATAGATAGATAGATAGATAGATAGATAGATAGATGCTTTGATAACATTTAGGAAGGACATACATACCATGGTGTTTGTTTTGCTGTCTGTGCCCCTGTTCAGAAGATTTCATCTCACTTTCTGTCCCTGTAAGAATTGGATTTTAACAAATACAACTAAAAACCATAATGAAAGGCATTTTAAAAAAAAATCAAAGCCAAACATAATAACACAGTTAAATGCCAGCTGGGAACTCAACAAGAATAACAAATTGAAAATTTCATTTTTACCACGTGGAGTGGGTTAAAAAATGAAAGTTCAAACTTAACAGCCTGTTCCTGCTTCAAAATTGTTTTTGTCTGGGTATTCTTCCTATGACACCCCAGTTCTGCATGCAATCCTTGTTTTGAAATGCACAACTTTATATATAAATCTAGCTGTCAGTTTACTGGTTGACACAAGTAAATACAATACAGTTTAGTTAAGTATGTTTATTTAACATACACATTTGAACAGGATGTCAATTAGGACAGTAAGTGACAATGAGATTGAAAAATCAAGCAGATTTAAAGCAAGACACAGATTTCAAGATGAGTATTTAAAAAACACACACACACCCAAAATCACAACACTTGCCAAAATATACAGTATTGTAGTGCTTATTAGATGCTTTATCTTAGAATACAAATTGGAGGTCTCTTCAAGAGGAAGGATAAAAGTATCCCCAGTGTGGTCTCTTTAAATACAACCTAAGTCCTCACTTTAAGCCCTTTAATTGTGCCTATTGGCAATATATTTTCAACAATTACTCTTTAGTGGGTTGATGTGAGTTTTCTGGGCTGTATAGCCATGTTCCAGAAGCACTCCCTCCTGATGCTTCACCTGCATCTATGGCAGGCATCCTCAGAGGTTGTGAGGTCTGGTGGAAACTAGGCAAGCGGGGTTTATTTATCTGTGGAAGGTCCAGGGTGGGAGAAAGAACTCGTTTCTATTTGAGGCAAGTGTGAATGTTGCAATTGGCCACCTGCCTCAAACAGACCAGAGTTCTTTCTCCCACCTTGGACATTCCACAGATATATAAACCCCACTTGCCTAGTTTCCAACAGAACCCTCAACCTCTGAGGATGCCTGCCATAGATGTAGGCGAAATGTCAGTAGAGAATGCTTCTGGAACATGGCCATACAGGCTGGAATACTCACAGCATACCAGTGATTTCATGGCTGGCCATGAAAGCCTCTGACAATAATTACTCTTTATTCCTTAAGATTTGGAAAATCTATACCAAATAAGCCATTGTGGGTTTTTCCCCCCAGAACCCATTTGGAAGGGAAATTTCAACTTGCCAGCCCCCTACTTAGTTAATTGAGTTCAAACTTGTTTTGCAAATTGTTTCTGGAGGTTCTTCAGGTCATGCCTGTGGCAATGTAAATCCTGGAGGCGATGCAATCAGAATTAGATGGAAAAGAAGGCCGTTCTCTCTATGGGTTCATATCACTATTCAGTTAGAAAACAAGGTAGTTAGAGCCTGCCATCTGTAGACAATCAAGAAAAAAAAATAAGCAACTGCCACGCCAGGGAAATCAGCACGCTTGTTATTACCATGGAAAAAAGCAAAAATTATTAAATCAGCAAACCCATACCTTTTGTCCTACATATTCAGAAATGTATCTGTGGAGACAATGCTGTCAGGCAAGTTCTTGAATCACAGGAAAAAGGGTGATTTAAAACCGTTTGTCTCCTCTTGGTTTTGCTCCTTGTCCCATTTCGCAAGCTACTGGTACCTGTTTGTTTCTGATGCATTTATATTATCAGCCCCCCCCCCCCCTCGTCCACACACACAACTAAAATGATTAAGGTTCTGGAGAACAAGCCCTATGAGGAGTGGCTTAAAGAGCTGGGCATGTTTAGCCTGAAGAAGAGAAGGCTGAGAGGAGACATGATAGCCATGTATAAATATGTGTGAGGAAGTCATAGGGAGAAGGGAGCGAACTAGTTTTCTGCTGCCCTGGAGACTAGGACGTGGAACAATGGCTTCAAACTACATGAAAGGGGATTCCATCTGAACATGAGGAAGAACTTCCTGACTGTAAGAGCTGTTCAGCAGTGGAACTCTCTGCCTTGGAGTGTGGTGGAGGCTTCTTCTTTGGAAACTTTTAAACAGAGGCTGGATGGCCATCTGTTGGCGGTGCTTTGAATGCGATTTTCCTGCTTCTTGGCAGGGGGTTGGACTGCATGACCCATGACATCTTTTCCAACTCTATGATTCTAACAACAATCCTTTCTCATCAGCCAAAAGCTGGCCCACACTTCCCATTGAAATACTAATAAATTTATATTTGTTGTTTATATTTTAATTATTGTATTGTTGTAAGTGTTTTTTGCACTGCAAATAAGATGTGCAGTATTCATAGGAATTTATTCATATTTTTTTCAAATTATAATCCAGACCAACAGTTTGAGGGACTGTGACCTAGCCCTCTGTTTGAAAAGTGTGAGGGCCCCTGATCTAGATTATCAAATCAGATAATCCACATTATCTTCCTTGAACTGGATCGAGTCTACACTACCATATAACCCAGTTCAAAGCAGAGCATCTGGATTGGATATGGCTGTGTAGAAGAGGCCTCAGGAAGGACAGCCTGGGCAGCCATGCCCTCAACTGTTGGGCAGTGCTTTTAAAAGGCTGCTAGGTTTCCTCTTATGGCGGTTTGCACACCTAACTTCTCTGAGAGTCACTTGCATGGCTCCAGCTGTGGAAATGGTGCAGGTGAAGAGAATAAAGGTGAGGGAAAGTTCAGAGAGCGATCATGGCTAGAGGGACGAGGAAAGGGAAAGAAGGAAGTTGTTGCTTGCTTGCTTGCTTGCTTTCTGCAACACCCGGCCCTTTGGAAAGGGAGCATCCCACAAGAGAAGGGAAACTCCAGAGTTCGGTTTCGTTTCGTTTGTGAAGACGGACAGAGCCATTCCCCCGCGACTGAGAGCGATGAGTTGCCCAAGAAATGGAGCCCGAGGCTGTGGAGCCTGCGATGCGTTTTCGCCACGGGGCGGGCGTCTAGACGCCAGGGATCCCGGAGCAGCAGGGCAAGAGGACTGGCAGCAGCAGGAGCAACAGCGCCCGGAGCAGCAGTAAGTCAGTCTCCCAAGCGGGGAAGACAACAAGGGGATTGCCTTGGGAATCTGTTTCAGTTTTGTCAAGTAGGTGGGAAGTATCAGAAAGGATCACAGTTTAGCAGTGGAAGCCTCATACCTTTCAAGGCAGCCTGTCTGGTTTTGGAAGCTACCAGGTTCTTATATGGATGGGAGACTGCCAATGAAGCCTAGGTGCTGCTGAAACCTTTCCACGCAGAACCCTTTTTGTTTTCCCACCAAAGTTGGGCGGTGTATATGATAATTTATATTATGACCACATAATGAGAAGACAGGAAAATGAAGTACTTTGGCCACATCATGAGAAGAAAGGAAAGCATAGAGAAGATCATTATGTTGGGGGGAATGGAAGGGAAAAGGAAGAGGGGCCGACCAAGGGCAAGATGGATGGACAATATCCTTGAAATGACTGGCTTGACCTTGAAGGAGCTGGGGGTGGTGATGGCCTGAGAAAGTTTGTGTGACCCTGGTCCCCTCGGTAATTTGATGGTGTTCATCTTCCGGTCTCAATTCAAGGTGCAGGTGCTTACCTACAAAGCCCTAAACAATTTGGGACCCGCCTACCTGCGTGACTGCATCTCCTTATATGAACCCACACGTTCCCTTCGATCATCTGGAGAGGCCCTGCTCACGATCCCACCTGCATCGCAAGCACATTTGGTGGGGACGAGGGACAGGGCCTTCTCTGTGGTGGCTCCCCGACTCTGGAACTATCTCCCCAAGGACATCAGACAAGCCCCAACGTTGACAATCTTTAGGAAGAGCCTGAAGATCTGGCTGTTCCAGTGTGCCTTTCCAGAATAGGAAACTCCCTGGCATTATGTCCCAAATGCACTTTGTTAGAGATTCAGGATTGTTTGCACATTGCACTTACCTCCAAAAACCTCTACATGTTCACCTGTCAAGACCAGCACTTTCTAATTTGTTCACTACATTTGGCCCGGCCTTTAGGTTTTAAATGCGTAATGGTGTCATTGTTTTATTGTTTGCTTGATGTTTTATTATTTGCTTATGAGTTTTATTGTTGTATTTGTATACTGTTGTTTGTTGGCAGCCTTGGCCTTTGTAAGCTGCATCGAGTCCTTCGGGAGATTTTGTGGGGTATAAATAAAGTTAATAATAATAATAATGGTGGTGCATAAGGATTTGTCTGTGGATTGAGACTTCCTCTTTCAGCCTGGTCTTTTCCTTTCCTGGGTGTGTTTTTCCTTCCAATATCTTCCTGATTCCTTCTGAGAGGGGCCCTGACTCCTTCCCTTGTTTGGGCCCCCTCTTCCCCGCCAAGTACCCTTTCATCTCTTTTTCTTCTTCTACATCCTCTGGACCAGTGGTTCTCAAGCTGTGGGTCCCCAAATATTTTGGCCTTCAACTGCCAGAAATCCTAATGTGCCTTCACACCCAAACCCTATAAAATTTAAACTAAGATGTGCTTCTCTCTTTGTCTGGGTGGACCGCGGGAGTCTTTCTTTAGAAGCTCAAAATTTCTCAGCAACTGAGGCCACTTCAGGTTTGGAACATCAAACAGAATATTTATTTTCAAAGTCCTTGGCAGACTTGGCACAGCTTGAAGAAGTTACAACACAAACAGTCAATTTGGTAAACCATAGAGATGATCTTTCTTTCTTTTCCCTTCAGTTACTGAGGTAACTTCCCCAAATGGTAGAAAATATCCTGGGATCCTTTCACCCTAACCCTGAGCTGGTATGGTTAGAAAAAACAGGTTTTCCCCTATCTATAGCTCAAGGTTATCTTTGGAGATGAAGTAATGCTCAATAATATTCAATAACTTTTCTATAACTCAATTGCTCAATTACTCAATTGCTAGTCTATCTATCAATCTATCTCAATTAGCTTCTTTATCTATATAACTCAGTCGTACTTACAATTATTTTTTCAGAGCTACCTGCCTGACCAACAGCACATCTGAAGCTTTCTTTCTCTACTGAAGAAGGCAGGGGAGATTCCAAAATGGAGATCTCAACCCAGGAAAAAAGGCGGTCCCTAGACCCAAAAAGATACTTTTCTAAACCAATAACTGCAGAGGGCCTGCAGTCTGGCTTTACAGACTCTGATACTGTTTAACTTCCAAGGTGCTGCTGGGTCTGTAGCAACCCTGGGGAAATGCAAAGGAATACTATCCCATGCAACTATGCTCCTGGAAGACAGAACAACTAACAGCTGGTAAATTGGCTAAGATTTCTGGGAGTTGTAGACCAAAACACAGGTTGAGAAGCACTGCTCTGGACCATCCTTTGTGTTTAGCAGCTCTCCTCTGTCACAGGGAGAATGTCCCTACGGCTTGGGTGGTAGCCTCAAAATATAGTCTTGACTCTCGTTAATTCTATTTTTTGGTGGTGCTTTTAACAGTGAAAACAAGTGTAACAATATTTACCATAGAAGGTAGTGTTATAGCCTTGTTGTGATTCTGCAAAGGGTTAGATGTGTTTGCTCCTTGTTTTGGTAGATTTTGCAAAAAGGCTATTGTGTTAAATAGAGTTCTGTCTATGTCTAGAATACCCTGTATGCATAATAAAATAAGATTTATGGCCTTTACCCAATGTGCTGACAATTCTTGTGAATTCCATAGCTTTCTAGTATCTCAGAAAACTAGAACCTATCTTTTTCTATTACCCAAAACTACACGAGCCTTTATCTTTAACTTGGCTGCCATGAAAATATAATGAGAATGTACCCATTCTGCGAGAGAGAGAGCTCCAAGTCCAGGTAGCAGGAGACAGATGATTATCATCTTAGTTTTGTTCTGGGAAATAAAAGTACATCATTTCCTGCTGCAGAAGTATTTGCACTGGTACTTTAACCACTTCTATTCCCCTCCCCTTAACATATATGGCTTTTGTCAGGAGATATAACTCCATTTAAGGCTGCTGGAGATGGCAAAGCCGTGCTCAGTTCCTGTTAATCTAAAGTACCAGTTGTAAGTTTAAGTAAAGGGAAGAATAAGCTGGAAGGACCATTTCATATATCTTTGGCTCCTCATATTGAGTACTGTAACTGTGTGGCATAATTATGTATCAATATACAGTGATCAACTTGTGGCATAAAGCAGTTAAGTATAAAGCCATGGAGAAAGCCCAGGGTGTGATTGATAAGAGGATGGCACTTGCATCCCAATACAAAGCCTATCCTAATGCAAATGCGGGGAGGTAGTAGAATGTGTAGCCCGCCTTCTGGCTATCCTAATCAGCATGGCCAGTGGCCAATGATAATAAGAGTTGTTTACAATAACTCCTGAACTAAGATGGGATGTGTTTGTACTAAAGGTGTTGGTTGCTCTTGGTTATAGCCTTCAAGTCGGCTTCAACTTTATGATCTTGTGAGCGACAGCTCTCCAAGGCACCATGTTGTCAACAGCCCTGTTTAATGTATTGTCGAAGGCTTTCATGGCTAGAATCACTGGGTTGTTGTAGGTTTTTCGGGCTATATGGCCATGTTCTAGAAGCATTCGCCTGCATCTATGGCAAGCATCCTCGGAGGTTGTGAGGTCTGTTGGACCTAGAAAATTGGGTTTATATATATCGCAATATAAACCCAATTTTCCTAGTTCCAACAGACCTCACAACCTCTGAGGATGGTTGCCATAGATGCAGGCAAAACGTCAGGAGAGAATGCTTCTAGAATATGGCCATATAGCCTGAAAAACCTACAACAACCCAGCCCTGTTTAATTTTGAAACTCACAGCAACACATTTTCTGGTCACTTGCCTGAAGCTGAGGGCCCTTCCATGCAACTATAAACAGATTGAACTGGATTATTGGGCAGTGTGGACTCAGATATTCCAGTTCAAAGCAGATATTGTGGATTATTTGCCTTGATATTCTGGGTTACATGTCTGTGTGGAAGGGCCCTGTCTAGGATAGCCAGTACCCTATTTTCTCCCTCAATTTCAATTGGATGACCTCCTTAGACTGGCTGTCCATCATATCAGTATCTTTTCATTTCTTGTTGAAGAGTTGTCTTTACAACTACATCAGTTATTCTTGATGTATTCCATGCAGCTACTGGAAATATCATACTAGATGCTTTAAAAAAACACATTCAGAAAAGTTAAATTAGCGCCTAAAGCAGAAATGGGAATCATGCAGCCCTTCAGTATTGCTCACCATTGGCTACATTGGCTAGGAATGATGCGAGTTGCACTCTGACAATATTTAGAGCACCGCACTGCTCTAAAATCTTGATGAACACATTCTTTGGAGGTGCTACCGAAACCTCTATATTTGTAAAGTCCTATATCTTTTAAATGGCATACTATTTTAAACCATACAAGCAATTAATTCATCTCCCCCTTTTTTCTCTCTATAGTTCAGATGCATATGTTATGATAGCCCCAAATCCAACAAAGAGGGATCAGTTACAGAAAAGTAAGTATATGGCTTAGCATTGGTCTACTATTTGAATTTTGCATAGAATTAGCTCCTATATTCTGCAGACTGTATGTGGAACCTCACTTCTGCATTTGATATTTCCACCAAAATGCTGATTTAGCAAGTCAGATATGTCTATTGTGTTTCATAATACCTGTACGATTCCCATTACAGTGAAATGGATCATGAGCGGAGTGATTAACATGTTTACTTTGAAATAAGCACAAGTGATTCTATACGTTACGTCCTGAAATAAATGAATTATAAAAATTGATTGAAAAATTCGCTTTACAGATCATTGGTTGGAGTCTTGTTGGAATATTACATTAATGTGTCTGCTTTTTCCAGACATAATGATAGGCTGTTTTGGGTCCACACACTTTGTCTATATATCTTTAATGTCTTCTTTCTTTTATTATTGCCCACACTAGTGTAAGTAGTGTGCATCAAAGTATTTTTAAGTAATACTTCAGGAACAAAAGAGAAACCCATCTCAGACCCCTTCTACATTGCCATATAAAATTCAGATTATCTTCTTTGATCTGGATTATGTGGCCATGTAGACTCATATAATTCAGTTCAAAGATGATAATGTGGATTATCTGCTTTGATAATCTGGATTATATGTCAGTGTAGAAGGGGACTCAGTGAATGCTCCCTCTCTGGAGAGGCCAGGATGGTTCTGTCCCTACATTTCCGTTTTGTAGGCAGGTAGAAACATTCCTCTCATTATAAAATGAAGACTATTGGGCTTTAAGACAGTGTGATTGGGATATTAAGATGTGTATAACATTGTAATGCATTTTAACATTCAGTGCTTTCAGTAACAAATTATTTAATTGTTTTTAATGTTTATATTTATTATAGTACTCTCATTGTTTTTAATCACAGTTGTTTTTTTAAAAAAATTAGCCACCTTGAGTCCCTATATTAAGAGAAAGGCTAAATAAAACTAAAGTAAACAAAAACAAATATTTTTGTGTGAAAACAGATACAACGTGGGAACAAATAGGGTTATATAATTAAATCAATGAGCAATGGGATTCCCATTTCTGTTTCAATGTCTTCTGCCAATGCTGCAAAGTCCAAGCCAAAAATAAAAACCATCCCTAGAGGAGTTGCGTTTTTATACCAATTTTTCTAAGCTTTGATTACAAAAAATGTTAGGGGTTTTCATTCTTGTTAATGAAAGTACTTTTTGAGTGTGGACAGGATAATGCAATTACTATTGGGATACTTGGCTCTGTAAATGTGTTTGCTGCTCTTTATTGAATTCCCTATTCCTCTAAACAATTACTTTCAATATAGTCTGAATGTCAAGATAGTATGTAGTAGAAAAACTTCTAGTCACAAACCTTGTAAATAGCAGAATGGAGACCCAATAGTATTGTCTTCAGAAGTGTCCTGAATAGGAAAACCAATGGAATTCCAGCCAGTATGTTCTTCTGGAGAAATGAAGTCCAAACATGTTAAGCCAGCTGTCATAAGAAAGGACTATTTCTTTGCATGAGACGTCTAAAACTATTTTGCTTGTATCCTGTGCTATGTCCATTTTCATGGATGAATGCCATGCTAGCCTACATTACAGTGGAGAATAGGTGGGTGCATGTAGATGGAAGGGCCTATTGTTGATGGTGCTTTAGACCTTTCCTGCTCCTTTGGAGATCAGTATTGGGACCATGTTTTTCTTCTTGTAGCTTTGTACCCATCATGAAATGAAGTATTTTCACGAATGCTTTCACTCTTTATCTTGTTTACTGCATTTCAGTTGCTAATAAAGAGCTGGAAGACCTCGCAAAATGGAAGGAGCAGTGCAGGCCACGAGTGCTTAATCTGGTACCCCAGAAACTGGGTGAGTGGGCATACGTATCTGAGACACTTCCTCAAAGATGCCTGATTGAGATGCTCCTGCTGCTTTCTCTAAACATACTGAGCTAAATAATTCAAACCATGTTTAAGTGCTTAAAGTTCCCTTAAGTCCGGAAGTATTGTCTTGTTTGTAGGTTTGAGTGAGCCACATTTTGTCATTAAGAAATCAAACTTAACAGCAAACAATGATATAGAATTTGTTGTCACTGCAGTGATGCAGCCTCAGGCAATAATTACTGGAGGATTTAAAAAAAAATCTTAGCAACATTTGAAGGGATTGTCAAAAGCTTTCATGGCTGGAATCACTGGGTTGCTGTGAGTTTTCAGGGCTGTATGGCCATGTTCCAGAAGCATTCTCTCCTGACACTTTACCTACATTTATGGCAGGCAGAGAATGTGATGTTTTTTGGAAACTAGGCAAGTGGGTATATCTATATCTGTGGAATGTCCAGGGTGGAAGAAAGAACCTTTGCTTGAGGCAAGTGTGAATGTTACAATCGGACACCTTGATTAGTCTTGAATGGCCTTGCAGCTTCAAAGCCTGGCTTCTTCCTGCCTGGAGAATAATTTGTTGAGAGGTGTTAACTGGTACTGATTATTTCCTGTCAGAAATTACCCTGTTTTTGGAGTGTTCCTCTTTATGCATTGTTCTGATTTTACAGTTTTTTAATACTGGTAGATAGATAAACCATTGAAATCCACAAGCAGGTGGACAATTTCAACATAAAGGAGGAAACCAAGATAATGAACAGAATCTGGCTACTCGTATTTTAAAAACTCTAAAATCAGGACAGTAAATAAAGAGGAACATTCAGAAAACTGGGGAATTCCAGACAATAGAGTATTTTGCCCTTAGTCAGCTACATATTTTATCTTGTCTCAAAGTTCAACGTTGTTGTAATGTTTAATAGTTTTGAAAGACTGATGAAGTGTTGGAAATTATAGCAGCTAATAATGAAGTATCAAACAGAGGTTGAATATTTGCCTCAACTGCTAATTCAGCAATACAGTGTTTCCTTACTTATTGTGGGGGTTATGTTCCAGGATCACCCGCGATAAGTGAAAAACCGGGATGTAGGGAGCTATACTGTATATGTACAGTATACCTCCGCCCACTCTTCTCTCCCCCTCCCCTCCCTCTCTCTCATGCACTCAATCAATCCCTCTTTCCTCTCCTTTTTTCCCCTCCCTTACTCCCTCCTTCCCCCCTCCTCTTGCTGGAGCCACCCTTCTCCCTCCCTCCCTGCTTCCCCACTGGCATGGGGCTCTCACCCAGTCACCCTGAGGAAGAAGCCCTGGTGGAAGCTGCCTTGGCAGCCCTCTCCACACCCCTCATTGGCGCCGGACAGGGCTCTTCGCCAGCCACACACACGCTTCCCTCGCAGCCTGCTACCTCCACCAGCCAGGGCGACTTCTGGCTTCTGGGAAGCACTGCCAAGGGGTTCCTGGCTTGCCCCCCACCCCTGGGCAGTGTGAGAGCCATTCTTCCGCTCCGTAACTCTGGTCTGTGAGTAACTCTGCATTTCAAGTCTGTGGCAGGATCTATGCTGGAGAAACAACACACTTTAATAATGGGTATACTGTGTTCCCTTGCTACTTGTATTTTAAATTCTTTTTTAAAAAAAAACCTGTGAAACAGCAAGTCTGCATGAAGCAAACCATGAAACAGCGAGGGAACACTGTATTTCGATGGGGAATTTATAGTACAGCTTTTTAACATCTGGGTTGATCCATATTAAGATACTGCTGGAACAATGTTTTTCTGTAATTTGCCAGAAGTTCAGTTTAAAATGATGGGTCCATGTTGTTAAACAACAACAACAATCTAAGCAAGTCTTTCAACAACATTCTTTGCTGATAAGAACTTCCCAGCCTGCAGTTCTCCCTCTCCTGAGTGCTTCATAGTGAATAGTTATCCATTTATTTCTTCGAACAACTTCACCGAATTGTTCTGATACCAGTTTATGTTTCCAGAATTGGGGGGGGGGGGGAGTTAATTATAGTTTTTCTTGCTGCATTTTTAACAAACTTGTCACTCAAATGAACTCAAAGCAGCTAATAATATTAATTAAAGATCTTAGAACATATACAAGCATTTACTTCCTCCCAGAAAATTGATCATCGTGGAATAACAACAACAACAACAACTTTATTTACCGTATATTCTGCTCCCTCTCCAAAAGGACTCAGGGCAGCTTACAACTAATAAACTAAAATAGAATATAATACATAATTCCAAATCAAAAAACATCACAACTAACTAATATTATCATAACAAAATACACAAATTAAATTTAGCAGGATTTAAAACACATTGTGCACCAGGGCAAAACGAGGTCAAACCAGTTGGTGTTTGTCCAACTATAAAAGCCACCATCATAATAAATTATAGTTAATCCTTTCCGAATGCCTGTTTCCACATCCCATGTTTTCAATTCCTTCCTGAAGGTATCTAGAGAGGGAGCCTATCTGATTTCTTTGGGAAGTGTGTTCCAGAGCTGGAGTGCCACCACTAAGAAGGCCCTTTTCCCGTTCCCACCAGCCATGCTTGTGAGGGTGGTGGGACTGTGAGAAGGACCTGCCCAGAGGACCTTAATGCCCAAATGGGTACGTAGGTTCCAGTGAGGAAGAACTTCCTGACTGTGAGAGCCATTCAGCAGTGGAACTCTCTGCCCTGGAGTGTGGTGGAGGCTCCTTCTTTGGAAGCTTTTAAACAGAGGCTGGATGGCCATCTGTCAGGGGTGATTTGAATGCAACATTCCTGCTTCTTGGCAGGGGGTTGGGCTGAATGGCCCATGAGGTCTCTTCCAACTCTTTGATTCTATGATCTCCTGAAATCACTGTTTTCCCTCTATCCTCAGGTTAATAGAAACACATACTTTTTTTTTAGAATGTTGCTGTTTTCCACAAATGTTTTGCAGTTTAATTTTTGACAAATCACTACTTGTTGTCCTTTCTTGTATCACAGAGGTATGTTGGGCAAGTCTTAGTGATTCAAATAGGAAAGTATGGTGGATTGAAATAAAACCTCTATTCTGTTCAGAACGTGGTTAGAACACTGTTAGGAAAGAGGAGTAGAGTATTGTCCAGGACCAGCTATTAGGTTGAGAAAATGCAGATGTCTAGTATTTAAAATGTATTTGTGCTTTTGTTTTAAAAATGAAAATTAAGCCTCTGTTATTTTCAATGTACTTGTTCAACATGCCTTGAATACAAAACTAGGTATCTGACATGCAAAACTTGCCATTAATTGGCAAAGACACTGGTTTGTTGTTCAGGTACACACACACATGGCCAGTCATTTTAACATGATGGGAATTAAAATCTCAGTATTTGAGGTGAGGCATGTCAGTAGACCAGTTACTATGCAGTATATAGTCATCCTGCCTTTTGGATACTATTCTTGTAGTGTTCTCCTGACTTGTTTAATATGTGCTCTTTCCAGGTGGGAAAACATCAGAGGCTGAAGTGAGGCGAAAGCAGCAACTTGAACATATGCAGTCCAAATACCGGCAAAAGGTCAGGAAGAATGTATTTGTCATTTCCTTGGCCATTGCATGGAATAAGAAGAAGAGCTCTGTTATCTGACTTGACTTCTCCCATTCTTTGTTAAAAACAAAGCACATTGAATATAGATCATTACAGTGAACAGCCAGAAGTCATAATTTGCTTTTGGACAACACTTCCAAATTATCAACAATGCAAAATGAAAACTACTTCTGATCCCATCAGTTTTGGATAAGGAAAGGCATTTTTTTCTAAATTAAATATTGTTCTCTATATATTTATCCCTATGCCTGGTTGATCTCAAATTTCTGCAAAGCTGAGAGAAACACTGTAACCTAGATAATGCTGAAACTGCAGAAAGATCATGAGACTCTGGTCATCCAGTTTCCTCTTTTGACATGTGTGCTTGAAAATGCAGTAACGAAAACAACAAAGCCAGTTGAAATGTGTTCAGATTTTTTAAATCATTTTGTAGGGAATTTATTATTCATCAGATGACTCAGATTTCATGATTCATATTATTGCTCTGCATGCTATAGATTTGTGAATGCCGGCATGTACAATTTCTATCACATGTTTACTTTAAGTAGTTTTCTTGCTTGACTTCTACTGTAGAAAATGGCAATTTTGAATATAATTATCAGGGCCCTTGGGCACTTTATTTATTTATTTGCACAATATCTGGGCCCATCCTTTGCCTAGAAGCTGGCACGGTCTATCCTATATGCGTACACATATCTGGGATCCAGCAAGAATATATTTTAAGTTGTATTTAAAAGCTCCTATATGTGGAATGGGATCAGTGGAGAACAGGTGTAGCTCCCGTTCATGGTGACCTGAGATGTGGTTTGGAGCTCATCAAGTTTATTTCTTGACTGCCTAAGGGTCCCCTTATTGCCAGTGAGAAAAATTCAGTCTAAATCTATTGTGCCTCTCAAAATATGGTTGCACTCTAGCTTTCGCCTGATGGTCCCTGTACACAAAGGCATATTCTCCATCATAGCCTGATATTCATGGAATCTGAGAGGAGACCCCGGTGTATTGGAAGCCTAGTTTGTCCTTTTCTTCCTTGACATGTTTAGTCTGGATGTAAGTTGTAGTAAATGCAGTCTCTGTAATAAGCCTAGCTTTCTCTCTCAAAATAGCTGAAGAGAGAGGAAGATGAACGAATCAGGAGGGAGGCAGAAGAAGCTGACATTTTGAAAAAGAAAGCAATTCAAAGAGAAAAGGTAAGACAGACGTAATCAGGCCAGGATTGTTTTCTCTCCCTGCAGGCACCTATAGAGCCTGGAAGTAACACATTGAAAGACATATTGTCAGTGGTTATCTACTTTGTGTGTGTGTGGTGAGGGACAACATACATTACTTTGAAATCTTTTAACAGGAATGAGGTAGGTGTTCAGGTTCACTGCTGTAACAAATAACGCTTATCTGTTGCCTTGAGTCCCAAACTGGGAAAGAAGTGGGATATAAAGAAAAATAACAACCACCACCTATTACTTCAAATTGTTAGTTGCAATGACATTATTTTGGGTATCTGGGGGATTTTTTTCTATTGTAAAAGTGGCTCCAAATACCATGTTGCTAATGGGTAATTCTCCTTGCGATAATGAATCAGTGTTATGTGCCTTCAAGTCAACTTAGACATGTAGAGCTCTTGTGATGGAGTTTTCTTGACAAGATTGATTCAGAGAGGGGTTGCCATGGCCTTCCTCTGAGCCTGAGAAAGTGTGACCGGCCCAAGGCTGCGCAGCACGTTTCCATAGCCAAGCAGGAGGGATGCCAATCCTTGTCTCCCAGACTGCTAGTCAAACAGACAGACCAGATGAATCGTAGCCAATGGCAAACAATTTGTTTCTTGAAAAAGAATGTAGCAACACTCATATTTCCTCAGTGAAGTTCTCAAGGTCTGCATTTCATGATTTTTACACATAACATAATTCTTTACACTCAAATGTACCCTGCCATATTTAGGACTATTCTTTCGTGTGTGATTTTAAATGATAATTTGGCATTCTACGCATAAGTATAAACATGCCTATTCCTCCATCTCCACTTGCATGTTTTTGTTCTTTGTGTGTGTGTGTGTGTGTGTGTGTGTGTGTGTGTGTGTGTGGAGTGACTTAAGAAACTGCAAATCACTTCTGGTGTGAGAGAATTGGCCATCTACAAGGACGTTGCCCAGGGGACGCCCAGATATTTTGATGTTTTACCATCCTTGTGGGAAGCTTCTTTCATGTCCCAGCATGGGGATCTGGAACTAACAGAAAGAGCTCATCTGCGCTCTTCCTGGATTCGAACCTCTGGCCTGTCAGTCTTCAGTCCTGCCGGCACTATTGTGCCACCGGGGGCTCCACTTGCATGGTGTAGGGAAGACATCAAAAGCTTTTGATCCTGCTTTAATCTAATCACTTGCATTTGCCACATTTGAACTTCAGCAAATTGTGTGATATTAGCATTTTATTCAAACTGTAGTATCATGGTTTGTGATCTAGCTTGTTTCCTAAAGCAAAATTAACTACATTTCTGGTTTTGGGCTTAGATATAAGCTTCAGGTGGTTATTATTATTATTATTATTATTATTATTATACTTATTTATGCCCCACTTTATCTCCCCTGAAGAGGACTCAGAGCAGCTTAACATAAAGCATCAGCATAACAATTAAAAACATACAAGTATGTGAACATTAAAACAAGATTAAATATAAACAATATTACAATTCCCAGTTAAAAACCATTAAAACATATTCAAATTTAAGAGTTAAACTTGTTACGCTAAACTATGGTTTAAGGTAATGCATGTTATGTTAAACTATGATTTGTCTTATTTGAGCCAGTCTTTCATACTATTTCTACTGGCTGGGTTGTGTACATATCATATCTTTACATCTATATCTAACCTTTCGGCTTTGTTGGAGGAAAGTTCTGAGAGTGCCTTGGATTGCGAGAAGATCCAACCAGTCCATCCTCCAGGAAATAAAGCCCGACTGCTCACTGGAGGGAAGGATACTAGAGACAAAGTTGAAGTACTTTGGCCACATCATAAGGAGACAGCAAAGCCTAGAGAAGACAATTATGCTGGGGAAAGTGGAAGGAAAAAGGAAGAGGGGCCGACCAAGGGCAAGATGGATGGATGGCATCCTTGAAGTGACTGGACTGACCTTGAAGGAGCTGGGTGTGGTGACAGCCGACAGGGAGCTCTGGCGTGGGCTGGTCCATGAGGTCATGAAGAGTCGGAGACGACTGAATGAATGAACAACAACAACAATATCTAACCTTGTTGCAATCTGATATAATTCTCAAATTAGAACTAGTATAGCATAATAGAGTGTTATTAGAGTAGGTCTTGGAAAAAACAGTTTTCACTATGGAGTTTGTGGAGCTCATCAAAATTACCTTAATTATAAGGTTGTGTTGAGGATAAAATTGAATGGAGAATAAGCCATGTGCACCACACTGAACCCCTTGAATGAAGTGGAAGATATAGATTTTTTCAATAAGAATCTCAAGTAGGTTGGACTCACTGCGTGATACATATGCTTCTGTAGTATACCTTGTGTGACGCATATGCTTCTGTAGTATCAATTTTAAGTGATGACTATTGGATGTGTGTGTTTTGCTTCTAGCAGGTGGTCTTTATTTCTAGTATTGGATCAATAATTAATTACAATGTTCTGATGTTCTCATATTCTAGGCCAATAAACTTGAAGAAAAACAAAGGCAACAAGAATGGCAAAGACGGCAGATGTTTGATGAGGACCATTTCGTGTAAGTTGGGTTTGAACTTTAATAGAGAAAGATGATGCTTCAGCTTCCTGGGTGCAGGCTTTTACCTCCAATTCCTCATAATAAGTAACTATTATTCTTCAATTCCTGGATATGTCTTTACAGCTTTATGTTACTATCCCACCATGCAGCAGCTGCTCCCTTTTCCTATTGTCTGATTGAGTTACATTTAGTACAAAGAGATTTGTGACCTCTTGGCTTCTTTTTCTTTCAGCTTAGTATTTGCTAGCTCTTTGATATGCTGCTGTAAAGAGCTAGTTGCAAACTAAAAGAGGGTATTGAAAATCCATGTGCTTCTACATCATCCTGGAAGTGGACATAAGGATTTTGATGTATTTGGGATAGACAAAGTACTTCATTTTTCTTATGTGGTAGACATAGTTGGAATATTACTATTCTGTGACCTGAACAGAATTTGGCATGCATCTTACTCCTATGTTTTCAGGATTTTTAAAAAAGTAGATAACTAACCCACCTTCTTATTCTTCAAGCTAAATTTCTGAAATGCTGATGAGGCTGAACTGACAAATCATCCGCAAAAATTGTTTTGTGTTTGTGAATTTCCCTATTTTTACATGCAAAATTTATATTTTTTTCATTGAAAAATTAGCAAAGTTCCTAGAGAGATGGTCTGAACATAAAATTGCCCCCAAAGAATGCAATCTCAGAACACAAAATATAATCCATCCCTCAGAATGATCATATCTTCTTTCCACCGTATAAAACTTGATGACAATAGAATGATTTTATTTAAAATGCCATAAAAATCAAAATAAGAAATCCCATTCAGTCATAAACTAAACACGAGTCGCTTATTTTAATCTCATGTCTGCCATCAGAGTAGTAAACTGGAAACTGTTTGGTATTGATGAAATATTGTAATTTTTAAAATGATGCTTAGGATTAAGTGCTTCCCTTTCAAGATGGCATTCTGTTAGAGCCAACACAAAACAGTTGCTGCCTGCGACAGAATGGAGCACCAAAAATGCCCCACACCTATATAGGCAAGTTGTAATGCAACCCGAGGCAGAAAAGAGCAAAATCCTATCCTTCTATTCCCAACAAAGAGAAACAGATACTAAGCTGAATGTCCAACAATTTGAAACTCTTTTTTCAAAACAGAATCATCATTATTAGGTAGGTAGGTAGGTAGGTAGGTAGGTATTAAAATGTAAATGTAGGTATTTCATTTACCCAACACTAATAGGCACTCACTGCTGAAATCGTACATTTGAGGACTGCTTTCAAGCTTTTGCAGGGTACAGTGTGGAATATTTTTTAAAATCTACAAAAAGATTTTGACAAGGGGAAACTGGCAAGACACCAATTAGTAAACCCTACTGGCGGTAAAGCAGTAGCAGCATGTGCCTTGCAGAACTAAGCAAAAACATTTTGATAAAACTGATAAATCTATGCTTTTTCAACATGCCAAGGTCACTGATAAGGCAGGTTAACCTACTTTTTCCGTTTCTTTCCGTTTCTTTTTACTCTGCACACATGCTCAGTAATTTTTTGTATGCAGCTATTTACTTTACCAGTTGCACATACACAGCTGCAGCAGGATTATGAAGAACAGAATCTTATTTTTACCAAATCAAGTTTTTTTTCCCCCTGCGCACACATAATTGCCACCCCCCATACTGAAAGTTTGTCTTTTTCCAGCTGTCAGTTACAATGGCCCCAATTCTGATGCTGCAAAGAAGAAGAAAAAAACACTCAACCAAGAAGGACTCTCATAAAAATATTTAATAAAAAGAGTTTCTTTGTCATAAGCTTTATTTTGTCAATATGTTGATATCACCAAAAACCCACCCTATGCAAAAGCTTAAAATGTAACTAGACTATGCATTAAATTAAAACCAGTTAGATATAACTATTAAAAAGAAAACAACGAATAGACAATACAGAACACTAAAACAGAACCTTTTAAGGCTTTAATGGTTTGCTTAAAAGCAAACCCTCAACATTTGTGTAAAGATAGCAAGAAGGGTGCCAGTCTAAATCTTCTTGTAAGGAAGTTCCAGAGCTTGGGAGCAGCTACTAATAAGGCCCTTCCCCATGTTGTCACTACGTGTCTTTGTGGGGATGATGGAACCTCTCCGAATCGCCTCTGGGCTGAGAGGGGCAATATATAAATATAGTAAATAAATAAATAAATTTCCAGAAAAACTGAAGAAATAGGAAGTATTGTCAGAGAGAAGTTAGTTTTTCACCTAACCTGGACCTGAACTTCATTGGTCATAAAAGAAATACCAGAAGTGTCCAATAAAATCCATAGGAAATACTACACATACATTTCCAAGTGCTCATTCAATTGGTGCTTTCTTGCAGATAAGACCAAATGCATTTCAGAAACAAAGAAATATGAATTAGTTTTATATTAGCAGATTGTCATGGGAGGGAGTTAAGTAGCATTCAAGGATGTATCAATTTACCTGGTCTGAAAGAAGCAAATACAATCAGAGACCTTCAAGAGGCATTGTTACATCTCTTTAGACCAAGTAACTGCCCACGTAGAGCATGTTATAATCCAAATGTATGATAATTAAATCTGTATCAATGTCATTTAAGGAGTCAGTGCAACTGGTGCACAAGTGCCTTAAAAGTGCACCCTTAGCCACCAGTGAAGTCTTGAGTTTCCAGATTCAGGATTGAGTCCAGGAGTACACCCAAGCTGTGTACTTGTATTTTCAAGGAGACTCCATGGAAGAAACAAGGGAAGAAGTAGCGGATTCCAAATCACAACCGAATCCACTTGATCTGACTCATCTGCCTTATATGTTTCCAAGATTAAATTTAAGTGTTTTCATACTCATCCAGTCATTACTAAAGACAGCCATCAGTTCAGAACTAAAGCAGCTTCATTGGATCTAGGTAGGAAAGAGTAACTGTAATGAAAGCATCAAACCCCCAAATCTTGGACTAATTCATCTAGTAGTACAAGGACCAAAACCGAGGGACCCCCAGGCCAGAAGCCACAATGTTTTCCACCAGCATCCTATGACTGCCTCTGTCCCATCTCAAAAAAAATCAGTTCAATGGAAGACCATGGGGTATAGTACTGAAAGCTGCCAAAAGAGCCAGCAAAACCAATAGGCACTCATTCTTGTGTATTTCTCCACACTGGTCGTCCACCAAGGTGATCAAAAATGTTCTTATCCATAGTCTGATATACCTTTCCAAAAATCTTTCCTACATCTCTGGCTGTACACATTGAAAAGTGTCCATTATCAGTGATTAAACAAGGGACCAAAGCTACACCACCACATCTGTAGTGATAGCATCCCAATTGGAGCAGATCTGGGTGATTTTATCTGTACAGTGCTATATTTCCAATGGGCTGTCAGATGGTCCGGGCTCTTCTGGTATTGTCCAGTAAGTAAATAGTTACACAATAGTCCAGAACTACAAAATCCTTGTTTGAATATTTCAAAACCCCACAAGAACGGTAGCAATAAGTACCAGAGCCTCACAATTCATTTTCTGCATCAGAAGCAGCCCAAACATAGTTGTTCTTGCAGTCTGTTTTGGAGAAGCTTGTTAGAAGTTCTGAGGCTAGAACATCTGCTGTTTAATTTTCACACATAAGGTGGCAAGTTCTTAAATCATAACAAATTTTCTGTGAAAGAAAGGAATATGGAAGGAATAGTGGGAAAGCATAGAAGGGTTGTAAATAGAATATGACATTTGAATGTACCAAAAAAATTCTATAAATGGTTAGGCTGAATGGATTTATATATAATGAAAGTTTTCCATAAAAGTACTTGAGCCTCCTTTTTTGAATCTTTCAGAAGGATGCTTAGAGCAGGTCATTAGCAAGTTAAGGTTATATCTTTACTAATCAAAATCTCCATTCAAGGTGACCGTATTTTCTTTTCTTTTCAACAACACTACATGTGAAAGTAACCTATCTCTTTTCATTGTCATCATGAATTCACAATTGTTAGGTTGCTTTTATTCCTTTTTAAAATTGAAGAGTTTCTCTTTTTTAAAGAATAGCTATGCTCTCTAAGCGTTGTCATTCCTTAACTTTATTCACCAGACTTCAGAAAAGACATAACTTTAGTCACCGGATTTATTCATCAGAATAAATTTATGTCTTTTCTGAAGTGATTCGTCGATCTGAGTTTAAGCTTTTCTGTACTAGAAGAACTTTACCTTTGTTAACAAAGCAGATGCATTCCTGGCTATTACTTCTTCAAAAGAACAAATGGTACCAGAGAAAGAAACGACATAGGGTGCATTTGCAGTGTAGAACAAATTCGACTTGACACCGCTTTAACTGCCAAGTCTCAGTGCTATCAGAGCCACTGTATTTTTACAAGGCATTTCGTCTTCTCTGCCAAAAAGTGCTGGTGTCCCCCCAAACTACAACGGCCAGAATAGTGGTGAGCCATGAGAGTTAAAGCAGGACCAAACTGAATTAATTCTACAGTGTAGATGCACTTACAGAAAAAATAGGGATATGTTGATGTTATTTATTTATTTATTTCAAACATTTGTACCCCATCCTTCTCAAACCCCCGCAGGGGGACTCAGAGCAGCTTACAGACGGCAACAATTCGATGCCTCACATACAACATAAAATACAGTAACTACATAAATAACATTAGATTAGAATAAAATTACGTCCATTTAATTTTCATAAGATTTTCATATCATAAGAAGAACATGTCAACATGTTGCAGCAAACTTTTCATCCAAAACAAATGAAACTCACATGTGAAATGGAGTAACCAAGTCAGAGAAGCTTTGGTTAAATAAACAAAAACAATTTTGAATCTTCTAGAGCAGTGGTTCTCAAACTGTGGGTC